AAAAGAGGGCTGGGGAAGAGAAAGGGAGATAAAGTACTATTAAGATGAGGAGATGGGAGAAACATTGTCAAGGTGACTGCTACAGATCGTGGCAAAAACCTAAATGAGTTGGCTCATCAGAAACAAAGCGGTGTGGTGAATGAAGCCGAGCATTTCCTCCCTGCATAGTGTCTCAGCTTTGGGAGTATGTGCTGTGTCGTTTGGGGTGAATATCAAAAAGTGAAGACATGAAATATGATTACTAGATAACAGTGTTTCTGATCCCAAATGTCTTTTAGCCCGGAGTCTTTTTCCGTCACACACACTCTGAAGATGTTAGGTGAACCGAGAACGGGTGATTTAGCCAGTGAGGAGTTTGCGTGTTATGCAACCGCCTATTTCATCTTACATAACGCTGCAGTTTCAGAGTGGAAGATTAGCCCCGCTATACTGTTTCCTCTTAGCAGATGCCACAGCCGATCTCCTCTCGCAGGCTTTGTGCATACATGTTGACAAGCTGATTAGCCGTATAGAGCTAGAATTACGCTCAAAAGGGAGATGCCCAGATACTGTATGACTGTATATCTGTAGCAAAAGCCTTTGGGATAGAAACATATCCACCAATAATGATCTGTAACTGCAATTTAACCTAAAAGCTGGCATATAAATTGCTCGCTGTACCACTGTATGAAATATTAAGCTGCCCTAAACCTCATAGAAGTGTCAGATGAGTGTGTGTGTCCAAAGAGAGGGGGGAAAAAAGCGGATTGCTCTTCGTTGGGCATCAAGTAAAATCTATTTATCACTCATTTCTCTGTGTATGCTGCTCCTCTGGCTGATTCATAAGCTGATAAATACTGCAGCTCCGCATACTTACACTGGTATGGCGAGTTAGACTGGAGCAGATACAGCCTATGGTAGATCATTATTGGGGAAATGAGAAAGCGGCTGATGAATAGTTTGCATTTCCAACACCCTATTAATATGAAATATGTCAAACTAAATCATAAGCCTCAGCACATTCCTGAACTGGTCAGCCACGTTTCTGGACCGTTTCCATGAGATGCGTTGATGCAGCAAAATGCAAAGTAGCGCGGAGTGATTTAAACAGCTGTATCTGTCGGAGTGTTGCTGAACACAGCCTCCAGTCCATCCAGCAGTTGTTTTCTCTTTTGTAATCTGCCAGTTTTGCGCTCGTGAATCAGATCTGAGAGGGAAACGCACAGAGACGTTCAGGAAATGCAAATAGATCAAGAAGAAGACATGTGTTTGTAGCTGAAGCTGTAGGGGTGCTGGGAGAATCGCGATAGAGCTGTCTGTAAAGAAATGAATACAAATCCTTCAAAAACGTGTTCCCCCTCTGTCTACTTTCCTCCCTCTTTAATTGACTACCAGTGTGCGCAGCGAAGAGAGAACTAGATCTTGACATCTTCAAAAGCGGCTTTGATCTCGGCACCTTGAGGCCCTGGAGGATCATCAAGGTTCCCTCTGTCCTTTTATCGCACGATGTTTCTCTCTGCCCCTTGCTCCTCCTCCTCCTCCGCTCCCTCTTCCTCGATGTGATCAGCGAGAGCTCTCTGAGACTGATAATCCTGATACAGAAACTGCAGCCTCGCTCCGGCGCCGCCTCATTCCCATTCCGCTCTCGTCAACAGCATTTACCTAGACGCTCCGTCGCACATCACAAGGTCATGTTGAAATATTTCGAAATGCTCTCTGCGTATTCCGCCGCTGCTCCTTCCCGGCTGCACAGAATTCCGAAGCCAATTCCCTTTGTCTTTGAAAAAAGGCAAGGAGAGACTAATGAGAGGATTACAGCAACTTTTATTTTCTGTTGGCAGCTCAACCGTCCTCAACTTCCTGTTGTATTAGACGCTGATCAGCAGTTTCTCCTCTGAGAGAATGATCTTTTTGTTCTTGCACCAACATCTTATATGTTTGACAAATGGTAAATGTACAAGGACAGCAATTTGTGCTTTAAAGTTATAATCATAGGTAAAGTGTTTGTTAACTTAACTCTTAACGAATATACAACTGACTAAAGTAAAAAAAAAACACGAAAAAATGTCCTTATCCCTGAGGCACGTACAGCTTTAAATGAAGGCGATTGAAATGTATTATCTCAGGCATCAAAAATCTCCTCCCCTTTATTACACAATGGACCCCCTACCTGCACCACTGATTGACCCTCAGAAAGAACACTTCAAATGAGCTAACCTTTGGATAAAAGAGCAAAAGCGTTACATTCTTCCTCCTGACATTAGCCGACAGCCGAAGCAGATTTAGAGGTACTTAGCAGTAGTTTAGAGGCTGTGGTGTTTAAAGAGCAGCCAGGGCTTATTGTCAGTTACCTACCATTTCAACGTTGCAGGCTTGACTGCTCCTAGTCATTCAAAGAGTCTTATTTCTTTCCTTCTGTTTCCAGAGATATGTTCGCTTAAGGGAAATGGCCATTAAAATGTCATTACCGCTGTACTAAAATCATTTTTGAAAAGCACTGGTTCCCAGCGGCTTCCCACCGTAATGGGCTCAATACATTCCCTCAGCACAGGGAAGAACCCTAATGTTGCGGAACACAAATGCTAATCTCTCTGTAAATATCACTCAAATTCACTCTCCCTTCTGCTATTCTGTCATAATAGCATGAATTCAGTCTGCTTTGCACCAGTCAATTGAATTAATTCTTCAGGCAAAGGTGCCATGATTATTCTAAGCTTCCTCGTGCGTGGGCTTTAATGGAGATGATCCTGGCATTTCGCACCTCCATATTTCTTCTTTGTTTGCGGTATCTCAAAGGTATCAGTGATTTCATTTTTAATTCACGTGCTCCTCATTAATCACTCTCTGACAGGCTTCATATTCACGTCTGAGAGTCAACGTTGGACTTAGGCATGCGTGGGGAGAGTGGGCGGAAATACAGCAAGGGCCGGTCCATAACATGAATCAATTGATTAAGTGCCTAAGAAGCTGGAAGCACTTTGCCATCTGAGACATTCAAAGCCTCTTTGCAGAATGAGATCATCTGCTGAGCAGTCCATCAAGCTCCACGCTGAGGAACTCATCCTGGTCTAACTTAGTTCATGAAGGAGAGACTCAGTCTGTTTCCTGCCTCCACATTGATCTTCTTGTGTATTCCGACTGTTCAACTGTGTCTCACATTCAACTGATATCTCTGCGCTATTAATCATGGCACCCAGCACTTGCGCCGCCATTTCAGCATGCTCAATTTATACCCTAATTGGGGTGGTCATGAGTGCATGGCCATACTGCGGCCTTGCCTGAAAAGTGTAACCACTTTTAACAGCTCCAAAGAGTGGTTGGGATGCACATACATTTGGCAGCGATTATACCACTCATTAACTTTCTGCACAACCTCTGCACTTATTTACTCAATTAACTTGCTATTTTAAGTTCTGCTAACATTGGGATGTTTTATTTGCCTTTTTTAAATACTTAATCTGCCATGAATAATGGAATATCGCCGCGAGCAGAAGCCTCACGTTCACCGTATAGAAGGTGGCAAAATAAATGCACATAGCTAATGAGATAATGGAATCAATGAAGTTGTTCGCTGCAGCTGGCAGATAGCGGGGTGCAAACTTGACCCAGTGTGCAAATGAGCTTGACCCGCAGCGACATCCAGGAAGTGTTACTGTCAATGGAAATGGGCGGCGGAGCAGTTTCTGCTCTGGATCTTAGAGCAGTGCCGAATAAAACTGCAACAGAAGATTTACTGCCAGACAGAGAATTAGTCTGTAATGGTGCTGTCTGGTGTGTACTCTGTATGGTTCTCTCTCTCCCACCCTTGTTCCAGGCCTCTCTGGTAGACAGTAACTCTGTAAATGACTTTGACCTTTCCTGGGACTGAGGACGGGAACCGCAGAGGGAGAGGAGAGAGATGGCGGGAGATGAGAGAAGAGTAGGCGGTTGACTGTAATAAACTCAAAGCAGTGGGCGGCTGTCAACACTAATAGATGGGAGAGAGGAGGGGGTCAGCGGGTTGATGAATACTAAAGGTGCCTGAGTCCTCAACAAGTACTCAGATGTTTTACCAGGCGGATGTGTGTGAGATCTAATCCTCAGAATCCTCAGGCTGCTGGCAGCGAGGGGCCTTTTTGGTGACTCAAGGAAATTATCGTTAGATTTTTGCTGCGGGAAATCTAAACAGCAACCTTATCATGCGTATTACCACGGCTTGATGACTGCAGTGTTATTGTATTGCATTGCAGTGTAACACTACTGTTCACAATGTGATTGCTTCAGCGTTAATGCAATCACACAGACACAGACATGATGATTTGCTTCTTTTTGTTTTAAATAGGATCCCTATTGTTCACTGCCAGCCTGCTAGATGTTCTAAACAGGTTATCTTTGGGCATTGATTGTCAGACAAACAGGGTATCAGTAAGAGAGAGTGTTCCATTTACCTACTGAATTGTGGTTTCGGCTTAGTATAACATCTTGCGACAAAGGTTCTCATAGAAGAAAGACACTAAAAGTCTACAGCCATGCTCACAATGACAATGCTAGCAATGTCGTGTTCAGCAGGTGAAATCCCTTTATCGTGTGAGCATTCTATCATTCGTCATTTAGCACCAAACATGAATGAAGTCATCAGCCAAAGTGATAGACAAAGTACAATTTTGACCTGATGACCATGCTACTTTTGAGCCAGGGTGTTGGGACGAGAGATTAGACAATAATGGAGCAAATGAAATAGTTAATTGTGTTAGTTATGGAGGCAATTCTATTTGATAGGCACAAATGAAAAACGTGGTTAAAGTTTTAAGTACCACTTGGTATTAGGCTCCCAGACAATTCTATTTAATATTTTCTTTTTATTATTACCTATATTCTTGAGACATATGTATGTGCCAACCGGACACAAAACAACAACAAACAACAAATATAATATCCATCCTTCAAACATTAGGGGGTATTTAAAAGGATATATTTTTCCACCTGTGACCAGTTGTTTTTGCAATCTCCTCATAATGTTCTCCATCATCTTCTGTCTATAGGAACGGGGAAAGATCGGCGTGATCTTCAACGTGGGAACAGACGACATAATCATCGAGGAGAGCGTAGTGATGGTGAGCGACGGCAAATACCACGTGGTGCGATTCACACGGAGTGGTGGTAATGCCACGCTACAGGTGGACAACCAGCCGGTCATCGAACGTTTCCCTTCAGGTAGGAACAGGGGTAGTTTGGGAACTATCTGTGTTGAATTTGAACCTTCAAAGTAATGAATTTGTAGATCAAATTGGTAACACAGTGGAGAGAGAAGTGAGCTTCAGGAAATACACATTATTCATGATTTCAGTCTCCCATGTACCACTAAAAGTGATTTTCATAGAACAATCTGTGAGAGCCCTGGTTTATTTATCAAGACATTCATATTTAGTCCATGCCTGCCTTATTCTAGGTAATTACAGGTTCTGGTCTGAAAGGCAGGAAGAGCCAAGCAGCCTTCCCGAGGCAAACAATCTCCCATCGCATAGCGTCCAGCTCTGCAGTGAGTCTGCCATTGTAGCTCCTGGCATTGTGCGGCCAGTATTGAATCAAGGCCAGCACCATGTCAATCTGCCAGCTAGGCATGGCTGTTGAACACAGCTTTTATGCAGGATACAGAAAAAGGACACTCGATGTTGTGAAAGCATGCAGAGGTGTTTAAAAGTCAGGCCTCAGATCCAGACGCAACATCATTACACATACAGACTTAAAAGGAGGTCAAAACACTCCATGAGTCACGGCTGAGTGTGCTTTTTCCCTGACTTGTTATTTAACTGAAATCATGGTATTCTATTACAGCCTGAATTATGAGGATTTGGTTTTTGCAGAAGCTCTCAGTTCATTTCTCTCTCCATTGGGTTCCGTTAGCTTCGTTCATGGTTGTTCAAAGGAAGACATTTTGCATTCTTGGTAAACACCAGTCCAGTGTCTAACCTGCATACTAAAATAGACGTTTGTCAAAGCCTTGAAGCTCTGGTGCATTAATCATTTCAATGTAGCCCATCAGTTTTCTACATTGATGCTGTCCGGCTGAACAATCGCAATCCACGATGAGGTCCACCTGCATTATCAAAAAACACTGTCTTTGTATCCTCATTGTTTCAAACAGCAGGAAGAATTGGGCTAATGCGGCCATGATATTTACTGCAGTTGACATAAAGAGCAATGGGACTGTGACATTCTCTGTCACAGCAGTGATCCTATATTTGGAGGCTTTGTTTTGGCATTGAGAGAAGTGTATTCTCTTGCTCATTCGTCAGCACAGCGAGGCCAGACCGAGGGGCATGCATCAAAGCCAGAAAAGGAAGTGCCTTGTGACAGTTTACTCTTTTCAGTTGTTATTATGATGGAAATGCAGCCCTTTTCGCAACAGCACACGCTCCAGAGAGGAGCCTTACACTAACAAAAGCTCTCACCGCTCAGGATAGAACAGCGAAGCAGCCTGTTAACAACGGCAAGTGAATGTCATCTTCCAAATGTGTTTTCTTTCATCAAGAAACAGTAATGCACAGCCCATATCGCATTCCTTTTATTCCACTTTCCTTCCGCCCTCCTTGCCGCTGTTGTCTTTGTCAAACATGTATTTCCTTTTCCTCTGCTTGATCAAGAATTGAAGAGTTGTTATTTTGTTGTTGTTTGTTGCGTTTTGTGTTTGTCTGCCGGGGGGCTGGGGCCCGTCTGAAGTTTTTAGGAGGTTATGGGGACTGAGGAAAGGAAATGGGAGAAGGAAACGGGGGTACTTTGGTGTGTAGAATAGCTTTGATTCATTTATGTGAGCTAGATACAATCGTAACTATTTTTGGGGTGCCCGCTTTGAAGGCTCCGGCACAAGCTTTGAAGGTTCCAGTCGCCGTCATCTGGAAGGGCGGCGTCATGGGGAAACAGAGATGTTACGCATTAGGAAAGCAAAACCTTGCATGAGGCTCAGGCACAAAAGGGCGGAGGAATACGTAGGGGAAAAAGTGAGAGATTGTTTGAAGAGGGTGGCAACTTCCTAACTGAGACAGGAGGTGTGTAAAGAGGGTGAGGTAATGTTTTGTAGAGAGGAGAAAGAAAAAGGAGAGGTCCCTTGTTGAAGTTCCTGTGACCCAGATTGAGCATATTTTCTGATTCTCTAAATGGTACAAAATACTCAATACTCACGACACATTCAGAACTACTTTGTTTTCTTGATTGTTGTATTGTAAAATATCTCCACTACCCTATCCCAGTGGAACACTGCATTCTAAAATGTCTATGTAGCCGGAATAAGAAGAAAATATAACAAGTTATCATGAAAGATGCCTCCAATGGGAAATTGTGTTAAGTGTTACAGGTACCAAATTTGAAAAAGCAGTTTCCTGTGAAATCTCCCTCCCAAAAGGGACTGTTGTGACCCACATGAGGCAGTCTCTTAGGGATGCTGTTGCGGCTTTGAACCCTGTCTAATATGCTGTCTATACACACTGAGTAACACTGAGATTCATCCTCACGTACACAATAGCCTTAGAAATGTAAAAATTCCTAAAGGGATAAAAAAAGAAGTAAATCTGTCACAGTTTAAGAACGATAGTGACAGTATCTTTCTTTATGTTTTTTTTTACACATATGTACACACTGTGTCATTAGGGTGTAGATTGGGAAGTGCTTACATTGCGTATTGGCCTTGGCTCACCAGCAGCTGGCTTATAAACAGACGGCCATAGCGATGTGATGTCTTGGGGAGACAGGATGTTGACAGCAAACATGGTCGTCTTGGGTCGGGCAAATTCTGCGGCAAAGCAACACGTCTCCTGATGTCACACGGTGATGTTTGTAGTCCTCAGGGAGTGTGTTTTTATTTTCCCTGTGCGTCTCACATTGTGTGTTTGTGTCAGTCTTGTTTCATGTGTGTCCGTGTGTGGGCATGTATGCATTTGATGGATAGAGAGCAGACCAAAAGTGTCAAAGGAGCACCCAGCCAGCTAATCCGCTGTGTCAGGTGTCCCCTCTGGGTGCCGCAGCAACAGTTGTTGGCCCTCCCCGTCTCCAGCATTCCCAAAATGGCAGACTGGCTCAATAAAAACATCTCTGCGTCACCCTGAGCACTTCAACCTGGCCACAGATAAAAAGGCAGATGTTAGCAGCAGTGCAATACGGACATTAATTCATGGTTACCGCGGGGTCTTAAAAAGTCTTACATTTGATAATCAGAATTTAAGGCCTTAAAAAGTCTTAAATATGATCATAAAAATTAGAAAGGTCTTAAATATGATATAAAAGGTCTTGATCGGATTTGAAAGGTACTTCTGTGTTGCGATCGCGTCTAAATGTGTTTTGGGGGAAATGTCCGGGCTGCAAAGTAACAAGTACGGTAAGAGCCTTTCAGTTCCCCCCAACAATTTGTATTGAAATAAATCAACATGGAACCAGTAATCACTAACTTTGTATCCCCCGGCCCCTTATCGGAGAACACCCAGCTAGTAACCTAGCAACCAAGCTTCAGCTAGCGAGAGCACGCTCGTGAACCGTTGCGCCGGTGTTATGCATGCCCGTCGAGATATGCATGCACCTCGCGGGAGCGCGCACCGCGTAAAGCAAAAACTCCCAGATTTGTACGGCAAAGTACGGTTTGGAAACGATATCATTTCCTTTTTGGAGGGCATGCAGTGGCGTAACTATCGGGCCCATGCAAACAAATAATTATATATTTTTAATATTTATTTTTTTTATTATAATTTTTTTTGGGGGCCCAATGGCATTGACCAGTTCACGCAGGCTTCAAAGTAACCAAGCAACCTAAATTAATTTGTAATTTGTCTGTCCAATGACCTTGCTCCCTTTCATGCAGGGCCGGTTTTTTGGCATAGGTCGCCAGATCTGGGAGGGGGAAAAACATTTTTGACCGTTGGTGCTCACAGGGCCGGCCCGTAGCACTGGCGACATAGGCAGTCTGGGGGGGGGCGCTGCGCTGGTAGTTCTGGGAGGGAAAAAAACATTTTTGACTGTTTGGCTCATCCTAATTTTCAGCCTTGATGTAACAACATTCATAATTAAGTCAAGGTAACACCCTTTTCACCGTCGGGGGGGGCCCAAAACAATATTTGCACCGGGGCCAATCACAACCTTGTTACGCCACTGAGGGCATGCATAACACGGCATAACACCTATTTTTTTATGCTGCTTCCCAAATTGGGATTAATAAAGTACATCTTATCTTATTTTATCTTTAAGGCTGTTAACCACCAAACTGCTCAGGATGTTCAGACACTCAGAGGGGAGGTCAGATTTAGTGAGTGGGGGCCTCCTAAAGCAATAATCCCCCTCTCATAACGAGCCAGCTTCCCTTAGAGCAGCTACAGCCTCCTTAAGAATCAAAGTAGGAGACAAGAGCTCTCATTGGTGTATATACCTTTGTTTGAGAGTATGGCATGTCCCTATGTGTGTGTATGGGGCTGTTGTTTCCTGATTGCCTTCCTGTGTCTCTGCTCTATTTCACACTTCCTCTCCATCTCATCACCGCAGCAGATAATAACAGTGTAAAGAAGGGAGCTTCTGGGTTTATACCACACTTGGCATTTTGACTTCATTGCGATGCCCCCTGAGCTTTACATAATCATTATGCTTTTTACAACCATAGTTTTATTGTCACCATCGCAGGGTATTGGCTGTGATTACCATATTTGGATGCCTCACAACCGTGGTATTACAACCAAAGAGAGCTCCGAGTGCCCCATCTTTCTTCCGCACTTAAGGATTCTTGCTCACTTGCTAGTATTTACAGGCTCTACCATAAAACCATTTCTTTGCTTTGGTTCCAGGCTGGGCTGCTGTGGAGTAGAACTAGAAAGAGGAAGTGGAGGGAGGGAGTGGTAATGCGTGGATGCAGGGGTCGAAGAAAGAGTAGAAGAAACGTAATAGCACCCTACAGAAAAAGTGCTTGGAATGCAGTGCTGCGAAATGATGGACCGAAGGAGAAGATGAATGGGGGGAGGGGGAGATAGAGAAAGAGAGGAGTGAAAACAAGAGAGGAGAGCAGATCCCGTGTGTGCTGGAAGCCAGCTGCTGTCACCGCTGTGATGGATGGGGCTTTGTATGTTACTGAATAATAAGCACTTCACAAATTGGATTGCATCACAGCAGGCAAGATTACATTCACCCCGTACAGTACGGTACACACAAACACACTCTCTGTAGAATTGCACGCAACCAGTAATAAT